TATTGCCTCAAATTTTTATTGCCTGCCATTAGTCTATTCAGGCTTTTAACATCTTCTTGGTTCCATTTTGTTAATTCCTATACATCTAGGAATCTATCCATTTCTTCTAGATTTTCTAACTTATCGGAATATAGATATTTGAAGTGCTTATTTATAATCTTCTGGATTTTGGTGGTGTCTGTTGTGATTTCATCATTTTCATTTAAATTATATTAATATGCATCTTTCTATCCTTTTCTTGGTAAGTTAAACCATGACACTTTCTAAAAGTTACAAAATGTTAGCTTTTGAGTGGTCTGTGACATTTGTTTCTCTTGTGAGACGGAAATGAAAGTCCCTTAACAGTAGTATATATCTATACTGTATGTCTATCTAAGTAGTATATGTCTATTATAAACTCATTTTACCTTATAAGAAAAGAGTACTAAAAAGAACTACCCAGAGCTCAGCAGTAGAATCAAATGCTCTTTTCTAATTGGGTTATTACAACAGTTTAACAAAGATAGAGTGTATCTTGAACTTGAGTGGAAGCAGTAGTAGTCTAAATCATACTTGGATTTGGGATATATTTTGAAGGTAGAAGAAAGCATCTAGAAGCCTAATTGTGCCTATACTCTCTTTTAATCTCTTTTTAGTTTCGCTATTCAAACTGGCTGGACAGGTTATATATGGTGCTGGGAACGCTGGCTGCTCTTATCCACGGAGCTGCACTCCCTCTTATGATGCTGGTGTTTGGAGACATGACGGACAGCTTTGCAAATGCAGGAAACATTAGTCAAAGTAAGTACTGTGTCTGTGATACTTTGATTAGAAGCTTTAGGAGAAGCCCTTAGGATGATAGCACTGAATATGCACTATTGTGTTTAGAGCTTTGGGAGGTAGAAGTTCTGAGTGTAGCTTATGTTTGTCATGAATTTGAAAAGATAGTACTCACAATTACCAGTGACAGAGCTTTGTGGAAAAGGTGAGAGCTCTATGAAGTCAGAAATATCATAGAAAGTATTATCTCAGGAGAAGATAAAAAACCTAATCAAGACTTTGAGAGAAATGAATCAGTTACAAGATTTCCAGACAGGTTGGATGTAAGAGAGGGACCCAGAGTGATTAGCCTGAGGAACTAGGTAGGTTTCTATTGCTGTCACCTGAAATGAGAAAGATGGAGGGAAACTAGGTCTGGGCAGGGAATATCAAAAGTTCAGTTTTGAGTATTGTCATGGATTAGGCAGGAGGGGAGAAATGGGCCTAAGAGAAGCGTGTGATTGTGTGATGTATGTATGTGTGTGTATTTTAAATGAAATAAAGTGTTTGTTAATTGAAATAATTCCTTACAAAAATAAAATAAAATAAAAGGGCCAGCCAAATAGCTCATTGGACTGAAGTGGCTGGAATTTGATCCCTGGCATGATGTGCTGCCCACCCCATCGCAGGGCACGCTGAGATGGGGATTGAGACTGGGCGTGGTGGCGTGTGCCTGTAATCCCAGAACTTAGGAGACTGAACACTGGCAGATCACTACAAGCCCAATCTACATAGTGAGAGCCTGTAGAACCTATAGACCTTGTACTGAAAAAATGTAAAAGAAGAAAAAGAAAAAAGAAATAATTGTTAAGAGAGGAGAAAGTAATACATGGTGTTTGAACAGAAAGGGGAAACATTTGTTAAACATATGTCCTTGAGAAAGAATAAAATCCAGTGGTCAGGAGGTAATGTTTGCTTTAGATAGAAGTGCAGACAGTTTGTGTACATAACAAATGGGAAGAGAGTATTTTGAGTATCAAGAGTCCAAAGCTAGGTAGATGGGATGGATATTTATCTTTGATGATAGCCAGTCTCATTTGCCTGCAAAGGTTATGTTTCAAGACCCCCAGAGGTACCTGAAGCTATGTATGGTACTTAACTCTATGCATACTGTAGTTTTCCTGCAGATGCATCTCTATAACGCAGTTTAACATATAGTATAAATAGCCGGGGAGGTAGCTCAGGGGCAGAGCACCTGTGTGGTAAGTGTGAGGTTGTA